GCGATTAATCGTTTGACAGCACTATTTATTACTAAAGTTAAAAAAATGTTGATTTGCAACAAAGTGGCTGTTAGAGTAGACAGCTTTGCTGATTATAATGCCATCATAAATCAACACTGCAATGGCACATTAATATAGAAATCTACTGATGAGCGGTCACATATTTGTAATTTATTACTGTACAGTTTTTTTTACTTTATAGTCATTGTGTAACTTAAAAGTGAAGCTAGTTGTGCACCAATTGAAGACTTTTCATTCATCTGTTATGAAAATAGACCGTTCTCAGTTTCCTGTTCAAACCGCAACTAACATGCTTGGGAAATAAATCACTGTAAGTCCTTCTAAATAACACATGACTAAATAAATATATATAGATTTTCAGATATTACAAAGAAAATAAAGAGACATCAGTGTGTATGTGAGAGTGACTGACCTGGTCCTGTTTGAAGTCACACAGGGCTTTGACGATGACCGGGCCGCTGCTCTTCTCCTCTGGGTTACGAGGCTTCAGACACACGATGCTCTTGGACTTGCTGACCAGCGTCTGAACCTGCCTCTTACTCTCCATGATCCTGTCTTTCTCTTTCTACACACACATACAGGCACAATTATTTACAAGATGAATGGGAACATTTTCTGTGCACACAGTGATTTGCAAAGTGCAGTCACGTTATACGTACATAAGAAATGACATTATAGGACGTCATATGCTACATATTTGATTTTTTTTTTATTTTGTCGCACCTCCAGGTTTTTGAGCATTTCTGTCAGATTCTCCAGAGGTGTGTTCTTGTCACAGGTGAACTTCTTACGGATGCTCTCGTGGTCTTTCTGCAGTCTGCTGTACGTCTCATTGGCCTCCTTGAAGAACTACAAAAGAATAATAACACAAATAAAACTTCTGTCATCATTTACTCCCCTTCGTGTCCAAACCCATACGAATTTGTTTATTCCATAGAACACAAAAAGAGAAATTTTGAAGAAAGGACTGGTTGCTCTTTTCCATGCAATTACAATAAAAGGGGACTGAGGCTTTCAAGTTTCAGACACAAGCTCACCATATACTGTAAGTATCATAAAATAATCCATACGCCTTGTGCACGATATATTCCAAGTCCAAACGATATTGTGTGAATAAAAAGGCATTATTTGCAGCACCTTTAAAGACTAAATCAATCATTTGTCTTTTTAAAAGGCAACCAATCTTATCTTCATTGATGCTTTCTAAGAATTGTTTACTCTTGCTTTGAACAAAACTGAGCAATATCTAAATCCCTTAAATCCATTTGAACACTTTTAGCATAAAAATGACTTATTATAGCATAAAAAATGCATTACTTGAAATAAAATAAAATATAAAAACATTTTAATTTCAGCAAGTTGCCAGCAACATTTCTCATTTTAATTTGGTTTAACTTGATGTACTAAAATAAACTAACACTGAAACAAAATTAATATTATAATTAATATAATTTATATGAAATTAAATTAATATATGTATGAAACAAATGACAAAAACATAACAAAATTACTAAAACTTTTTTTAATTAAAAAATATTAATAAAATCTAGTATCTCAATCATACTAAATAGTATCTCAATAATACTAAAATACCAAGCTTCAGACGTTTCACCTGCGACAATGATTATATTTTCAAAAACACTTTTTGAGAATCGCTTACTCTTCCTTAGAGCAATACAGTACATTTATATCATCATCACCACAAGAAATAGCATCAGATCCCTTGGCTAAGAGCAACTGTTTTCATTCTAAAGCACAGATTCCTTTATCTACACCAAACGACCAAACCCTTACTTGGCTGTAAGCAGCATTCTCCTTCAGGTGAACGTGGATGCACTTGGTGATCTGCAGTAACCAGCTCCACTGGGTTTGCAGTGTGTCCATATAAGCCTGAAAGAACCAGACAAAATTATAAACCATCGTATATAGACCGGTTGCTCCAAAGTAAGTAAGAAACATCAAAAGATCATGTTTGGATCCCTAATACAACAATGTAAATTATTGTACAAAGCTCATGATCTGAGGTATTACTCATATCCACAGCATTAATGAGACAGTTTTCACAGTCACTGATCTTATCATTGATGTAAGTTGAGCGTGAAGATGTTTCCTCACCTGTATCTTATCAGATGCTGGGTGTTGGCTCCTCAGGAGGTTGTCCACCTTTGCCTTCAGTTTATTCAGCTCTTTCTCTTTCTCTTCCAGATCACTCATCAGTTTCTGACAGGAAGGATGTATTTTATAAGCTAAAATCATCAGGCATTTACATGACAGGAAATAATAGTCTAGCATAGTCAAGACTAGTTTTTGTTCATTGTTCATTGTTTTTTTTTATGTTTGCCCATGTGCACATTGATGTTGTATTTCATTAGTGCATGTATCTCAGAATTGAGCAAAATTCAGAAGTTAACGAGTCGCCAAAGTTCACCTGATCACTTGAGACATCATAACTTTGAGACATCATAAGACTACAGCTGAAGAAGCAATTCTTCTTCTCTTCTCTGTATTTTTTTGCAATTCTTTTTTGTATTTCATCCCTATTTTAGCTTGTGTAATAACTGCATATTTTACTATAAAATTGGTATTGTGTTCTACAAATGAGGAGTTCATTTGCAAAAACCGATTTTATTGCGCAAAGCAGATAACTCCAACAGTCGTTTTTTGGCAAAAGCAGATAACTCCACATTTTATGTTTTAGAGTTTAAAAAAATCTCCTCAGATGACAGTGTAGATGCCTGACAAACATTGTTGTTGTTGTTGTGATCATAAACTGTATGCATTGTAACGCGCTGCTTTTGCAAGCTTCCGTGAAAACGTTTCAGCTTTTATTTTCCTTTTTCGCCCTGAAGAAGATTCACAGGTTCATCAAGTTCGTCGAAATGATCCATCCCCGATCACTTTTAGTCAGCTTTGACGAAGCTCCTCTCAGCTAGCACGTCTTTTCAAAGTGAAAGTAGCCTTGTCACCTGACCTGAATACAGCGCGCTGATTCGCTAAAATGGACTTTTCGGCTTCTGTTCAAAAACAACAAGGCGCTTGTCGGCTTCTGCAGTAAAACGTGAACTCGCGATACCTTGAAAGTGGACAAAACCGGCTTTTTTGACAAAACGTGTTTATATGTGGAGAATAATGCACGGCAATCAGCTCATTTTTTTTTTAAAGTGGCGTTTATCGGTTTTTGCAAATTAACTCTTCATATATTGACAAATTGCTTGTGACGGTCCTTTTTTTGCAAGCCACTTTGGATAAAAGTGTCTGCTAAATTAATACATGTATACAAATAAATAGCCAAATGTCATTGTATCCTTTAAAAACATGCATTGTAAAAGCTGTCCTGAATTGTGAAAATTGCTTTACAAATTCCATACGCATTTGTGATCATTTGCATTGGTGTATATTATTTTCTGATGATCGTGCGTGAGTCCTTACCGAGTAGCTCTCTTGTTTTTGTGGGATGTAGGTGTCTATGTTTTTATCTCCCCAGTCGAACACCAGCTCCTCTTCCTCTCTGTCATTGACCCACATGATGGCTCTGGAGATCTCCTCGATGATGCTCTGCAAGTCTCGCAGCTGAGCCGTACGCGCATGGGACATTTTCTACATGGTGAGAAGAAGAAAAGATCAGACTGAGAGAATGCGAGCTACTCTGAGGAAGCTCAAACACTGGAGAGAACCGATTTGTTAAACATGTACAGTCTAAAATAGTCACTACATAATATTCCCATTGGTATTATCATATTGTTTTGATGACTCTACTATTATTCTAAAATGTGATAAATAGTAATAATAAAAAAGGTTTCGAGTAGGTGTGTCAAAACTTTTGACCATCGGGGGCAAACGTCTATAAACAGAACTCATTTGACTGTATAATCAACTAAATTGAATCACTTGCGGTGTAAAAGTGTAGAAACATGAATACATGATACAGTGAAATGAGAGATGCTTTATTAGCTGACCTGTAAAGTGTCCCATTCTTGGTCCAGAGAGTGGAGTCCAGCCTTTTCTCTGCTCTGCAGCTGAAGCAGAAAGATTCTGTCAGTACATGTTTATCATACTTACAATGAAATCTATTATAAAACAACACTTGAAGCGAGTATTTGAATTTCTTTGAATGTTACTCCACTTTAGTGACATTTAAATTCAAATTCCAAAATTCACATTTGAATTCAAATTTCAGTTGAATTTAAAACACATTCTCAGTTCTCTTCTGAATGGTGCACAACCTTATGCAGTGTGAATCAACAGCACACCCACCCTTACCAAAAAGTAGTATACTTTCCTATTTTTTTGTTTAAAATAAGTATACTAATAGCACACTTGAATAAACTTATTTTTCGTAAGGGCAGTCATCTAGGCCTGTGTTTGCATTAGCATGCACACAACTCGTTTTCAAAGCACATACCAGCTCATCCCGTGCTCTGTCCACTTCCTGGCTTCTCTGGACTGAACTGTGGAACTTGTTGTGATTGAGGATCTGTTGGCTGATGGTCTCTGCGTCTTCACCGAAGGGTGCGGTCTCAATGAGTCTCTGCAACACACAAACACACTTAGACACGCGCCCAACTGATTTACAGTCTTCTGGAGTGTCGCCTCACTGTAATTATCATCTATTTTTGAAATGTCACATTTTACACTTTTCATTTCATCATACAAACACATGGTCAAAACAGCAGACTACAGTATATTCGGGAAAGCAGGGTTAGTTAACTTTCTGTTTCAAAAACTGTGTTAACTATCAATCAGTGCATGTTAGAAACCACAGAAACGGTGAACCTAACCTGCTCCAGTGGGTGTGACAGCGCAATATAATTATAAAGCATTGTTATGACACAGCTATGTCAATTTAATTTCACCTCATAAATCTTAAACCCAACACTTCTCAACATCTCTCCCTTTTTTTTTGCAACACGATCATTTCTATTTAATTAAATACAAGTCATATATTATCTGTCTGTTGTTCCAAAGACTCTTATTTTGATGGGTTTCATGGGCTCTGATACTCCGTCCCAATTTGCACACTATCTCTGTCCTAAATAGTATTCAATATTAGAATCAATGTCCCAAATCGTATATGTTGAAATGAGCATCCTAAAAGTACTATATATTTTCAAAGTGCATATCCATGCACCTTTTAACAGCTAATATTCGCCACAATCCATTTGGCTTCAAATCAGCATTCAGAACTACAAACACATATAAAAAGTGTTTAAAAACTACAAACATGGCAGGCGTGTGACGAGCAACGGTTAAAAAGAGAGGTTTAGATAAAAGGCTTTGAGCCTTTTGAAGATGCAAGTATGTCTCAAAACTTACATGCACTCACTTTTTCTTCACAAAAAGAGTTCATACTTTTAGGGCATACCATAAGTGGGATGCAGCAATAGATAACGTTTGATTCTGTTGTTGTAATATTCACTTCCTGTGTTTCTTCCTGTTGTTCACTCGTTTCCCTAGTTAGAGAGTACCTTCACCTGTGTCTAGTATAGTTTAGCATTATCTTGTGTAAATATAGCCTTCCTTTTCCTTAGTTCACTGTCGGTTATTGTCTTTCTTTGCATGTAAAGCATATTTCCCTTTCCATGGGTTTCCTCATGCATTCCTGGCTTATACTCTTAATTATTTCAATAAAAGCTGCAGTTAGATCCATGTCTCTCTTTGCAACACTGTGACAATACATATAAGACACATCTGAACATATGTAGCAAAAATTAGGAAAGGATAAACAAACAAACAACTGCACAACAGTCCAGTAGGTTGCAATATGCACTATGAATGTACATCACAATTAAACAAGAACTGGTAACAACCAATGTTTGCTTTTATCTATTTTTGGGAAACTATTACTTCTGTGATTCCATTTGGTGCAGAAACTATACACTTTAAAGCTGGTCATTTAATCACAATGTGATGTTCTTCACTTGTGTCTGAAAGCATGTAGATGTTTAAACAAAAGTTAATAATCAGCGTGATTTATGGCATCATCAATCATAGCCTCTAGGTGGCAGTGCTTAATCATTGCCGTCAGCTGTCGCTTTCACGCTGATCTCAGATCAGTTTCGGTCTTCTTATATAATGTCTGGGAATTCGGATCAGGGTCCACAGGAGGACCGTGTAGTTGTTTTGCTGACTGTAGAGTTATTTCAAGTCTTCGTCCTGCCGGAGCTCAGAGCAGATAAGAACTCAAATCAGTCACACCCCAGTCACTCTCACTGCTTTTGTCTTGGCTTCTTTTGCTCCAGCCACTCCCTGTTTGTCCCCTCCCTCCTTCCTGCTCGGGCGAAACAATGCATGCTCTGTCTAACCTGTGGTGAACTTTATCATTGTGAATAGTTGCAATAGAAATCACAGTTGCAATTTTTTAGACCAATTAGATCGCTCCCTCATTTGTGATATCATTTCAAAATTGTGTGTACTTGATTATCAAAGAGACAATAATGTCAGCGAGTAACTAGCACGCTTGAGATGAATTATGAGACATGCACTGTATTGTGTAAAAAAAATAAATAATAATAATAATTTTTCAATTGTGCACCATTTTCAATCAATTTGCAATTTTTTTTAATTTGTGCAAAAAAAAAAAGTGATAATATTAGCTGTGAAATTAGCTTTCCCTTGTGGAAAAAGAAGTGCACTTAATTGTACTGAATGTGGACTAGTACTTTACTTCATAACTTAAAAACACACTTATTGCAGTTTTATTTTAATATCACGAAGATACTACTATAGTTTTTATTAATATTTAGAATTTGTTTAGATTTTTATATTTTCACATTATACTGTTTTTTTTTCCCCATTTTGATTGAAGTTAAATTTTTTGCCATTTTGTTGTTTTTTACATTTTCATTAGTTTTTGTTTTAATGTTTGAATAGTTTTTATTAATTTTTATTTGTTTGGGTTATTTTACTTGATCAACTTATGCTAAATAAAAATACAAAATGTTGCCTTGATAACTAGCTGAAATTGAAATAATTTGAAAGACTTTTATATTTGATTTGATTTGATTTAAAGTTTAATGTATTTTTTTTTGTTTAGTTTTAGTTAACTATATAACCCTGCTTTACTGTGTCTGTACCTGCAGACTTTTAAAAAGTGCTTTTTGCAATAATTTTAAAATTACATTTTACTTTAAAGTACATTTTACGTAAATCATTATGTCATTGCTGTGCTTTAAAGTACACTGACTACCATACTAAAGCACATGTAACAATTATAATTTTAACTGTAGTGTTATTTGATAAAAAATTTAAAGTTGATTTTGAATGTACTCAATTGCAGTTTTATCATTATATGTAATAAATGTGTAATTAAAAATAAAGAAGTTTATTGTCTAAAAGTCCACAATGCCAAAAGTGTCCACCCATTGCTACTGAACAAATTTCACAACATATTTCTGATTACTAATACTTCACTCATAGTGGGCTGGGCTGAGTGTGCTGAGTGGGCTGTATGCTAAAGTGTGCTTTAAGTGACAGCATACTAAGCAGGTTCCATTTATTTATGTGACAACACACAATCACACACCTTCGGAGCACCATGTCATTGGGATGACCGGCATTGTGTAAGTCCACGGCATACTTATTCATCTGCTCTATCAGAGCCGCTGCCGCATTCATGTTTTTGTTCACTTCAGCTGCTGGTCCCATCTGCAGAAACATGACAGAAAAAAACATGGAAAGCAGTAAAAGATCACTGTGTGTGTGTGTCACATGCATAAAACTTTGTCAAAGTGTGTGAATGACACTTACATTCTCTAGGATGTTCTGTGCTCGATTCAGACAGCCCATACAGTCGTTGTGAAGCATCTGAGCTTTTTTTTGAACAGACATGGACGACATGCTAAAAAAAAAAAAACAGACAACATCAATCAATAAAAATACAGTAAAAATGTTACATTTTGACAGATCATGTATTAGATCACTAATTATTTAAGGTATTTTAAAGCAAACAAAAATGTTCATGTTTTGTTGAATTGATTTAACCATCATTCAGTTAAAAGACAGATCAGAACATATTGTCAAGCCGGAATAATAGTTGACATGTTGTGTTTAAAAACAAACAAGCCAGGTTACATTTTGAATGTCCCATAATTGTAATGCATGCATTTACATGCAAAGCTCACATGCACAACCATTTTATGAAAGCACTGTTTGATATAATACAAAATACATATAATACAAATATAATTTTTGACATACAGTTAGTGTTTGTGCAATGGTCTGCGTATAGCCATCATTGAACTCAGACTGGTATCCATTTCCACTCATCATGTACGGCGCAGCGTCATTCCGGGGTAAACTGTAGCCCACGGTGGTCAGATCGGGTCGGGAGTTGGATCTGCGGCCGATCTGGTGGAGTCTGGTCTGAGATCCGGACAAACTCATCTCTGTAGAAGAGTGCAGCACCAATTCAGTGACCAGCACAAGGAAAGTTATAAAAGTCCTCCTGTTCTCCTCTACTCTTGTTGCGCGTCTTTGCCCGTCGGTGAGTGCGCAGATACTGGCCACTGCGCTCTGGATAGTTCCGGGTTTGCAGTTAGACCACACCTGCACAGTCTCACTGAGGCTCACTGAACTCACTGATTCAGCCTGAGGACAGTCTTCCCACGAGGCGCGATATCAGTCATCGTCACTTTCCCACGGAATTCTTTCATACGGTCAAATTCTTTTTTCCTCCTTAATGTATTTTTTCACAACTGTTTTTGAACACTGAACATCAGCCAACAAGCTGCACATACTTTCTATCAAAACCTTAAGGATGTCCTGTGATTTTTCCTGTTATTATTATTGTTTAACTAAATGATATATTTTAAATATATATTTTTTGATTATTTGACAGTCTGTTTTAATTGATTGGCACAAGGAGAGGTAGGCTACAGTATGTCCAAGGTATCCCATATCATAACAGAATCAGTCAAATGGGAAACATCTCACATTTGTTAAAAATATAGTTGTATGAAAATGACGTGACCGTCTTTAATATGGTCAAATAAGGACTTTTTCACTACTTTTTTCAATTTTGTCTCTACTTTTAAGCAAGCAAGCATTCTCTGCATTCTCTCAAAAGCTTAAGATGTCCTTCATTCATCTATCTATCTATCTTTCATCTATCTATCTATCTATCTATCTATCTATCTATCTATCTAACTATCTTTAATTATTATTATTATTATTATTATTATTGTTATTGGCTTGACAAGATCGAACAGTATGTGCAAGGTATCCCATATCATAACAATCAGTGAAATGAGAAACATGTACATCTCACATCAGTTAAAAGTAAAATTGCATCAGTAAATGACATGGGATTGCAGGGAATCAGAAGAAGCATAAAGCACACCCTGTCTGACTCAAATACACAGACTCAATCTGCAGAGGACTTTCCCCCGTGTGTGTGAGCGTGCGTGCGTGGTGTGAGAGAGTGTGTGTGTGTGTGTGTGTGTGTGTGTGTTGTCCATGGGAGAGCGACACACCCACCTCACCCAACCTCACACACCACACCCTTTACAGTACTCTGTGATTACTGGGAGGTTCTTGACAGGTTAACTTGGAAAAAAGTGTAGTATGGTGGTAGTACAAAAAGTTTGTAATTGTCCATTAGCCTGTTTGATAAGTGAAAAGTACTACGCATAATGTCATTTTGCATTAATTTACCATTTGGTGTGGGAAAGTTAGGAACAGAGGTTAAAATTTGATGAAAAAGATTCATTCAAATCTGAAAAAGACTCATTTTATTCCATATCTCAGCATTTCAAACTATAATTATTGAAACCAGAGTTCATTTCAACATAGTATGTACGCAATACTATGTGTCAACATGCACAATATGAATTTTTAGCATTCTACCCATGAAATTTTGCATCACAGCAAGGCTCCTACACAAACGTATCTTAACAAACCAGTTTAGTTTTATTTTGCAAACCTCTGGTTACATTTAAAGACCAGCTGGAGATCTGAAATTAAAATCCATCTTTCAAACCCTTAACTTTCAACAAATTAAAGTTTACAGTAGAAATTTAGTTTTCAACCTCTCTCAAGATCTGGTCCTTATAATTTTACATATCACCTGTTAATCATTACCAGAAAACTAAAAGCTGTCACTATGATTTTTTTTTTTTTACTTAGTCATCAAATATGTAAGTCTTGCTCACACCTTATAAAGAAGTAATTTTGTAATAATGCGAGTTGTTTTCTTGTGAATGTATGTCATGCTTAAATTTAATTCTTTTTAACATTAATGAAATATATAAGAATGTTATCGGTGTTGTATTTCTCTGATTTAGGTCCTACTTAGTGGACAAAAACAACTATGTGGCATTGTGTACACACCTCCAGGCATCATGTGACATGGTGGTGTCCCCCAAGACTCAATACTGGGCCCATTATTATTTAACCTATACACAGTATATGTTTCAATTAGCTTGTGCAGCTAATCAACATAACATCTCTTTTCAATTCGGTTGTATGGGGTCCAAATGCTCTGTCAGATCCCAAAAGCACTAGATGCTATCAATTAACAACATGTTGGTGTGCAAAGAGAGCATGAATGCGTGTATGTCAGTGAACTTTCTGCAACCAAATAAAGATAAGATAGAGACCACAGTGAGATAAGATTTAGCTCTATTTTATTTTTTTCGTATTTTGTTTTTACGGTTTATATTATTATAGGGAACTGAGATGTTTTCTGTAAACCACTTTGAAAAATTGCTATAAAAATGCTCATCTTTCAAATTAGTTATGTGGATAATTGTTTTAAATTTTCAGATTGCATTTCAATTTTAAATCCAAAAAAAGCTAGATCTTTTTTTTTTCTCACAGAGAATGCCATGGTGTGCATATTTATATGTTACTGATTGCTGTCTCTGACTGGAAACACAGAGCTTAATCTTGTTTAACAAGAGTGGCGCACACACCTACAGACACACCAGTCAAGCCCTTAATAACTGAATTCATTTCTTTCAGTACAGTTAATTGTTGCACTTCTGGAAAGAGCCTACGCATGAACTAACTTGTCCATGTTATAAATGTAACGACTGAAAGACTGCCACAGTTCACATACAGTACATACTTGAAAAGCATGGCAAAACAAGAAAAGAACATCGCCCAAGCCTCACATACCACACTTTACCTGATCAGCATATCTCAACCTGGCTATACAGTCAAATACTAGAACTAAACAAAACACAAAAAAAACCTCTCTTCACATATTTAGTAAAAATTCCTAAATAAATATAGGCCTATTGTTATCTCAGAGGTTGTATTGTTGTGACTCTTTTGTTTATCTCTCTCAGGTCCTGCCCTAATTGAACATGTCAGTAACTTGG